TGTTTAATAGTGGCTTTTTATTTTTGGTAGAACTTTTTCTGTGGCTTAAAACCAAGGTAAATTCTTGTTCTCAGCAATGACATTGATAGTCAGTTAGCAATGGACCACCAGAGATGCAGCCAGAATCACAGGTAGCAGGCCCCATCGCTGAAGTGGAGAAATAAATTCCTGAATGCCAGTTTTTCAGCTTCATGTTGCAGAAGGTTATCTTTTCTTATCTATGAAATTGGGTATTCGCAATACTGGGCTGAACAAGAAAGACAATAGTCAATCAGGACTACCAAGGACTTGCCTGAGTACTTCATAAGACAAGAAAACAAGAGCCATGCTCCAAATTCTCAGTTAAAGAGAGTAGTTTCATCTTTAACAACCACATGCTTGACAAAGAATTATTGGCAGGTTGGGATATCACAGCATTTGAATTTAGGCCAGATTTTGATTTTGGCTGGGAGTGGCACTGAAATGGAGATCAGAGTTAGACTTGCATATCACAGAGCACACTGTGTCAGAATTTGTTGAAATATCTCACAGTCTAATATACACTATTCTTACTGAAAAGGAAATTTAAACTGCCAATAATAAACCCTATCCCCTAATTTTTACTATGAAGATGACATGCAATCATTACCACAATATATGAACATCCGAATGTTGTTTCACTGCTTAGTAGTCAAACACATATAACAGTGACACAACCTAGTTAAAAGCTTCGACATCTAATTTCAACTAAACATGAAGCACACACTATGTCTAATGAAATAAACATATCAACAAAGTTGTACTTCTCCCTATACAGATTTATTTTTTTTAACGTATACACTTCAGGCAATAAACCCAGTTACTCTCTTCAGATCCATTTCCTTATCATCTGTGTAAAATCAATATTATAGAATTGCTTCACAAAGCAAGTATGGACTAGACACCAACCAGAAATACAAATACCTCTTTTTAAAATTACTATTTGAACTTTGAACTCCCAGGCTGAAAAACAGCTTTGCCCAAGCTATTGCACTGCGTACATTACGTGTTAATATTTTGTCCCTCCCAAAAAAACCTAACCAAACCAAAAAAAAACAAACAAAAAAAACCCCACAAAAAAACCCCACCAGTCAATATTTTACTTTATTTGAATGGAAAAAACCTGTTGGTTCTGTCCCTCAGTTCAGAACTAAGGTTTTCTAAGCTTTAATCCATGCTTACAAAGAAATCAGCTATTTAAATCAGAACATGCTCAGTGACATCCTTTCACAGATCAGATTTTGAGTTTAATCTGCAATGAATCTTGAATCAAAGGCTTACAGTATCCTATTTTTACCAACTCTATCCTTCTGATATGAAAAATACTTTCACACTTTTAGAGATTAAAGTTACAATATTTATAATAGCGGAAGTGTTTAGGGTAAAATCAGTTTTAAAAACACAAAGCTGTGAATCTACGACATTTAGACTCTTTATATAAATAAAAAAATAAAGATATAGCAAACACACTGTACTATTCCAATAGCTGAGAAAGAAAATATTTTTTACTCTTATTAAAATACATACAAAATTATTTCTATTAAAAACATTGGTCGGATTGCATCATCCTTCTCAAGAATGCATACAAAGCCTTAATTTATGCTTATGAATACACATATGAATGGTCCATTTGTCATTTAAGTCAACAGTGCAAATCACATGCTTAAAATTAAACACTTGCATAAAAGTTTGCATGACATTCCCAAAACAAAGGGGGAAAAAATTATATAATTATCACTCTATATGCCCATTCTAAGCAAAAACTGACACCAACCTAATCACTTCTCAAATACATTTAACCAGAATCATGTTGTTCTACAGTAAAATGCAAACCCTAGACCAATTTTTTCCTGGCTTTAAAGGTGCAGATGCATTTACAGGTTCACTCTCTAAGGCTTTTATTATCTCCCGATTAATCCAAAGAAAGGTTCTCTAAAATCTATCTCCCCTAAAACTTAGTAGATGGACCAATTCAGGAGGCCATCTGCAACTGGACCACAGGTTGAAGTCACAGTGCACAGCATAAAGAAAAGTCAGTCATATTTTCTCTTGATTTCCAATTTGTTCTTCACTTGTACAGTTTCTGCACACTTTTATTTTTGTACAGTTTCTGCACATATTTCTTTTCTCATGACTGTTGCATTTCCCAGGAATTTCTCTGCCTCACCATCCAATCATTTTTCCTTCCACCCTTCCTTCTGATTCAGCACAAAGCAAATCTCGAGGAAGAAACTGTCACTATCAAAACGTTTAACCAAACTTCACAGAAAAACAAATGAAACCACCACAAACAACTTATTGCTTTTAGGGTACTTCAGCTAGTTAGGTTCCTCCATCAACAAGCTTTACCAGCAGAAGACAAGAGATATTTTAAGTCAGTATCCTCACATTGTTTTGTTTAGACCATCCTTCTGTTTGCAGTACTTCTCATCAAACTTATATGATTTTTCATTCAGGGCTAACCTGTGTCAGTAAATATTGAATTTGGCTCTAACAAGCACAAAAAGAGAAGCACAACACATCAACTTGACTATGCTATGCCTCTCGCATTCATTATTCTTTACCAAAATAGCCAGACAACAGAAAGAGACAAGACAGAACATAATGTTGAAAAGCTTGTGCTAAAATAGTTGCAGCCCAAAATAACTGTATTTACTGCTGATATCAAACTCCATCAATATTTGGACACTGCAGATGCCAATTATTGACTCACAGCAAATGCCTGCTTTCCTAAACTAGTACCCATGCTCCAGCACCATAACATGCAACAGAGGTAGTGGCAGCATATTAAACTCCCTGAAGACAAACAAGTCTGGGCAGCAAACTTTTTTTTTCCCCAAAAAAAGACAGCACATTAAGAATGAAATGTTATCTCTGACTTTTGACTGCCTCTCTCAGCAAAAAGCACCATGGTGCTAGGATTTCCAGACATTTATATGCTAGTGTTTTTGAAAAGCTCTTAGGATCAATGCAGTAATGTATGCCTGAAATAACTGGTCTCTTACAAGTGCTGCTCTCTGGATAGTATCTTTTGTCTCTCAAGGCAATGTGCAATCTGATGAGCAATATTAACTAGAATATGCAAAACAGATGCCAAGAGTTTACCAATGACATTTATTATGTGTTTAAAAGTTATCTCCACCAAGTCACCACAGCACTCAGAATGCATATGCTGACAAAATGCAAATAAAAAAGCTCACTTCATACGTACAAAGCACATGTTAATTATTATTTTTCTGAAAGTGTATAATGTCAGAAGCAATTCTGTAAGGCAGTCTTCTGCAACAATATCTCTAATAAAGGGACCTAAACATAATGCGGGTGTTCTGCACTTCTAATGGCTTTCAAAAATATAACACGGACCAAGAACTTTACTCAATTAGACTACCCCAACAACTCAAAGCACTGTGCTCTGGAAGTAAATGGACAGGGTAGGGGTGAGCAGAACCATATTTTAGGCATTGGTTACATATAAACATCTATTTAATTCAATTACTCTGGTGATTTCAGTGGTACTTAGTCTTCAATAAAAACTAATTTTAAAGTATCCTTGTATATAAAGATCACCTAAATACTTCAACAGCAAGTAAAACCACCAGTATATTCAAAAGGTTCTCAAATCTAAATTACTTAACATTTTAGGAGTTTACGTGAAACAGCTATGTTTAAAAATCTGGACCTATAAGGACTATTCTGCAAGCACACATTACACTTCACTGCAACACTGAATAGCAAGATCTCAAACAGTTCCATTTGGAAGAAGTAGTCTCCTCCTCTTCTGCATTATTTAATTTATATTCTTGATGTTTCCCTCTCTGACTGTATTAATTTTTCAGAGTTACAGGGTGCTCTTTTTTTTTTCTTTTTTTCTTTAATAACTTCAGTCAACAACACACAGAACAATTTAGGAGCACCATGAAGCAATTTTTTTTTGCTGGAGGGAACAAAGTGACTATACGTGTTCCAAAACATGTCAAAGTTAAGTGAGTAAGAAAGGTGTGGTCTCCTTCAACTAGTTACAACATCTAGACTTTCAGAGCCAAGGCAGTTGCAATGCTAGTGGCACAACCAGCATTCCTACTTTTTAAAAAGTGCTTAGCTCTGCCAGGCTATAATGTGGTGTACAGAGCTGCCATCCTGTTTAATGTTTGACTCCAACTATTCTCAGGTGTCTACATCTAGAAATATTTAATAATCCACAGCTTAGTTTTATTCCAAAAGATATCTGCATAACAAATTTCCAGTAATTAAACTATACAAGAAACATAAAGGACAGAAATGTAATTACTGTAAAAAATGACACTAAAAATATCACATAGTAACACTGAAAACCATTGAGTATTTTATACAGACATCTAATGGGTCTCCAGAGGAAATGTTCACCCACTTGAGTACACAGACTATAAGCAAGCATTTAATTTTCTTAAGGGCTGCTGCTGCCATGATTCCACAAAAGTATCTTCTATAAACTAACAGGAATAAAATCACTTTGAAATTCTACGTAAAACTGCAATTGGTTTATGCCTTTTAGAAGAGCAACTCATACTCAGTACAGCTAAGCACTGAGCACCACTACAGTTAAGAGTTGAGAATACCCATGACTTTGCATATCAGAATCCTAAGCTTTATAAACAACTGTCTGCTTTTCATCACTTAGTTATTTCTTTTAAAACTGTGGAGTACAGTAAGGTGGGTCATGTTAACTGAAATCACAGAGGCATTTTGTTGTTCAGAGAGACCTGATGCATTGCTTAAAAAAAAAAAAACCGCAAGGAAAAAAAAAAAAAAAAAAAAGAGCTCAATCAGCTGACCTTATCTTTGAAATCACAAACAGAGCAATAGCTTTGGACCTTCACGACTTTAGCAATAAAGTTCTCAACATTGCATGCATTACAATAGAGTTCATAATGCAACTTGATATGAGTTACAGCTTTCTCACTCTTTTTATTTAATGTTTAACTATTAAAAGTCATGACACAAACCTGGGTCCACATGTCTAGAGTTTCTTCTAATCCCATTCGTTCGTTTCTGCATAGCAAAAATACAAATCAAGGATATGAATAAACATGTTTTCATGTAGGCACACTGCACTCCTTTCATTCCCACAATCTACTAGGCAAAGCTGGTTTTCTTAAGTTATTTGCCCCAACCACCAGCACAATTATCTTTATCTTGTAGAAAGATCATACTTTGAAAAATATTTTAAGTAGACAGTTTTTTCATATATCCCATTTTTTTCAGACACTAGGCTCAAAAGATTCTTGGTCTGTAGAAGGCTTATTCATACATCAACATCTTTTGATACCCAGAAAAAAATTATTTTTGTAATTATTTATGAATAGGATAGTGGAAACATATGGAGTTTGGCATTATTTGCACCAGATAACATCCACAAATAGAAAAGTATCAAAGCTGCTTGCATTGCTTTAATAAGGTAGAAACTTTCACTATCCCTACTTAAGGTAGACAGAATTTCCTATGCAATTCTTCATTTCCTTATTTTCTGGGCAAGTACTTAAATATGTTTAGTAAATCATCTCCCTCTTTCTTTTACATTTGGATGAACCAAAGCTGTGTGAAATCAGAAACTCTGACAAGACCGACTTTTTTTAAAAAAATGTATTTTATACTCCAAGACAATACAGATCCCTGAAAATTTCAGTGTGAAATAACGTGTATCTGTGAACTACTAATCTGCTTTTGCAAACTTGTTTTAACTGGTAGCTTGCACGAAGGTTCATGCATTTATTTTTTTTTTATCAAACCAAGCAGAGAAAAGCACGTTGCATAACAAAGGGAACAATTAGGTTGCTCCGAATTACTTGCAGTTGATATAAGCTGATGCAGGACACACACTAAGGCAAGCCAGAAAGCAGTAACCTGAGGCACAACCAAATTACTAATTGCCCTGTAGCAAGCTGGCAAAATGAAAAACAGCTTTCAAACTCTGGAGTCTTTGGACATACTCTTTCTGTACCCCACAACTCTAATTAAATGAAGGATCCAAGTTCTGTTTCATCTGCAGTGGAAAGAACCAAAATTTAAAACTACTGCTGCAATGAAGGCAATGCTACTGAATAAGAACAAAAGGCTCAATTATATCCTAGGTGGTTTTTTTTAATGGGGCTGTGTTGCTGATAAGGATTGATGTAGCATAGTAAGTAACCGCAGATTTGCACGAGAGAATGGGGCAGGAGTGGGAAAAGCAAGCACAAAGGAAGATACAGAAATTATTATCTGACATAAAAAAAAAAATTCTGTGACAACCTAAGTCATATACACCAAAGCACCAGATGGGAAATGATTTTTAGGAAATAATCCTTGAGCTGTATGAAAACATGCTCAATATTCTTAAAAATATTGCAGTACCAGTAAATTTTATTACATTACTGGTATGAGATCTAAATCCTTGTTTTCCAGAATGACAGATCCTCATCTATGCTCAGGATTCCCTCTCCACAGATAGAAGTAAAGCAAGCACTTGAACAAAAGTCTTGGTAAAAATTAAAGCAATCCTGATGTTTTGGATCAGCTCAATAATCAATAGCAATCAGTAGCACCAGCAAGGAAGCCATTTTTCCCTCACAAAAAAGGTCAATCAAGCTAGGGGGGGAGAAGCGGAGGAGCAGGAGGGATTAGATATAACCAGTATCCGTATTTTCTTCATCCAGCCACACTATGTTCACCACAGTTAGCTTTACTGAGTCTGGCAACCTCGTCCGCAAGGCCCAGTAACCAATCTGCTTATGGCTTCCAGCACTGCTTGTCAGCGCGCCAGGCGAACGGACCATGCTGCCATTTCCCTATTTTAGGGCACCCTGACTTAGCAGGTATTTCTAAGCAGAGACCTGAAAAGCCACAGCAGGAAGCATGGCCGAGGGAGCAGTGAGCAGAGCGGGCAGGCAGCAGCACCCTGGGCACAGGCCGGGCTAGTGGTAGCCAGCCCTGTGGTAGCCAGGCTGGTGGTAGCCAGCCCGCACCTCACCCGTAGCTCCCCACAGGCTGCCTCGCCGCTCCCCTGACAGGTCCCCAGAGTGCCGGTGCCCGCTGCCGCAGCCTGCGCCCTACAACGAGCTGTCCGAGGGGGCCAGTGCTCTCCTCACCTGGCCCCCACTGCTGCGTGGGGACACAACACAGCTCAAACACCAGAGAGCACAGACATGCATAGCCCTGCACATGACTGCCCTCAGCACCAGAGGTATCAGCTGGAACGTCCCTCTAGTTCCATTTGCCTGTTTCAGTGACAGCACCAAACACATACGTGCTTATGGAGAGAAGTAACATACACGCTCGTATGTTGCTCATAACTAGTGTGTCATTCAAGCAGTTAAATTACCATAAACTTCTGATCTAAAATAGATGCTAGAAACTACTATATTCCACATTTAAAGTGCTGCTTCTCTTTTGTAGCCCTAGCAGACAAACCCAACTGCCATGCCCTTCCGTACGCCAGTGGGAAGGCACCAGGAGCTGGTGAGAAAACAACCACAGGCAGCTTGCAGCCTCCTTGGGCTGACAGCAAGGTACCCTGCATGCACCACAGTAGCTCCTCTGTACAGGGCCCATTTTACCATTCTTTCCCAATTATATAAAATCCATAACCACTGGAGAGCTCTGCAACTCAAGTCTTTTTACATGAAGAGGCAAACACTGCCCTGCCAATCCTTCACCGCCTGGCATGGCAGAGACTGGGTACACTAGCATGTTACTCCAGCAAGTCTCACTAGCATTAAAAAAAAAAAAGATTACTTTTAACTCTACTGTCACTACCGTCAGATTTGGTCTAGGAACAGTAAGGATCTAGACATTAGTTGTGAAGCAATGTATGGTTATTTACCTGTAACTTAAACACATCTCCACCCCTTCCAGTGCTCTTGGCATTCAGCCATATCAACTGAAAATTGACTCATGCTTTGAACAGAATCATTATATCTAATTATTAGTACCTTGTTTCTTAGACAACTTCTATTTTCTGCCACTCTAAAGAAATCTCTTGTTAAACGCAGAAGCAAAACATACCTGCTCCAACAGCATGAGCACAAAGTAAATAAGAAGCTCTTATGTCACCAACAAAACAAACATGACATGCAAAGCAAAATGAATCCTTACCTCATGTTTCAGGTTCCCGTGCTCTGAAACGTAAGTAAAAATTGGCATTATTGGCGATTGTAAATGGTAAACTTTTTGTACAGCAATCTCAGTCTGCACTGTGTTGCATTACGGAAAACCCTGCTGCCTTCTTTCGCTACCTGATACCTGCAGCCGCCCCAGCAGCCTGGGGCTGTGCCAGGTCCTGTTGTGCAAACCCCGCTGCGCTCTCCTCCCCGCTCATTGGTCCTGCCAGCAGCGCCAAGCCGCCTCAGAAAGGCTCCTTGCTGCAGGTCATACTGCGCTTTCCAGCAGGGGCATGGCAATCCGGTCCACTAAACTTCATAAGCTTTTAGAACATTTCAAAAATACTTTGTAAGTATAGACTCGTCATTGCAAGTCAAGTTTACACCTTTTCTTGTCTCTGTCTTTTCAGAGCACACCAACACATATCAAGATAAGATGCATGCCTTTAGCTTCAAAATTTTCTATATTTTGTGTCTTTAAGTTCAATTCAGCATTGCATTAGTATACCACAGACTCTGAAGCCATTGCTTTTTTGCCTCTTTTGCTATGAATTTTCTTGCACTATTTAAAAATGAGGAAAAAATACAGTCCTGTGGGAGATCAGAGCAGTAACACTTCTGCACGTGCACTCCACCACACATCACAAGGAATATAAAAAGAGATATTTTTTTACATTTTTCTTTGAATGTCTAATCTGATAGCAGGCAGTCGGGTGTACTCTAGATTTTGGTTCAGTGTCTTATCAAAGCGTACACGGGTGTATTTACCTGTGCTCACTCTGTAGGGCTGCACATGCTGCTGAGGCAAAGCACAGACTGCACATGCCTGCTCTGTACTGCATCATGTCTGAAAACTTTTACTGTTGTATCTTGTAAACAGTAAGCCATATTCACAGTAAATCAACTAAAAAGCTTTAACTGCAAGTAGATTTTGTTCCGCTAAAAAGAATTACATTAAATAGTAAGGTGTGGGAAAAAAAAATCTTTGGCTTTCTAACATTTTATGCAAAGAAGATAAAGCATGCCGAGACCAAGCACACCCGCTGAGGACTCTGGGCTGGGCCGGGGAGGCACAGCCTGTTTACCACTGGCAAAGCTCTCTTCTCACGTACGCTTCCAGTCACCATTTCCTCTCTCGTATAGTACGCCAAAGACACATCATCTTCTTATCCACAGAAAACACTTTTATGATTATAACCTTTCCAAAAGTATTAATTTGCATTTGTATAGTGAGCAAAAAGAAGAAAAATAAGACCACCCCAAAGGAGGATATGCAGGCAGACTAGTGAGGTTTTCTAAGGAGCCTGAGGGAATTAATTGCCTAAGTCCTGATGCTGAAATTCAATCTAATTTTTGTATTCACTTTCTCAATTTGATACACCTTTCAGATTTTTTGCCAAAATCTGAATAAAATAATCCTTTTTGAATGTTTCATGGCAGCCTCATAAACTACTTCAAATGAAGGGAAGGTAAGTACTTGTGGGGGAGGAGGGGTACAAAACTTTAAATCCAGACTTGGGGCTTTTTTTTTTCTTTTTTTAGTGGCCTATATTTAGTTCTGCAGATTCAGAAGAGAAAAAAAAAAGAAATTACATTCTATCCTCCAATGAGAATGCATGAATCTGATTTTTAATGGCTACTGTCAAATATTATTTTTTCCTGTAGGCAATATCCTAAACCCAACTAGACGAATGGCTTCCATTTGGTGATTGCAGCATCCCAACACTTTTCATAATGAATAATTAAGAAACTCACTGATTAACTTTCAATAATTGGATTCAAGAAATCATTACACAAGGAAGGCAATAAATACTCCTGATAATTTGTGTAAAATAAATTTCACGAAAATGGAGACAGGTGGGAAAGCCCAAAACTTTGTCAACACTGATGGATTGAAATGTCATTTATTACTTCACTATTAACACTTCAGGAACAGAAAAATAGCCATTATCTGTATTTCCACATATAAGCCTAATCAACAAATAAGACTCTTGTCTTGTTATTTCATTACAGTTTAAGTATTCCTGTATTTCAGAATATTTTCTATTGAATTATGCGAATTGCTTCCTTGTGAGAAATAATTTTTCCAAAGATTATACAAGACCAAAAAAAGCCTCGTTTCTATTTATTTCTATTTTTAGGGAAAAAAAAAAAAGAATGTCTGAGGATATCCACCAGCAGATATTTTACACAAGACAATTTTACTTCAAGTTCCTGCACATCACCTATGTGCCAATGAAATTATCAAGCCAGTGAGTTCTCAGTTCCAACAGCAAGCTACTTTTACTGCTATAGTTCAGCACAATTTTTATGTTTTTTTTTTTTTTAATTTATTCACTGAGGACATGATACCATTGGGTCACATTTTCATAATTATATTTTACTACAAAAGCAACAAGAGCAGCAGCTGGCCTCAATAAGTGATAGAGCACAGATTAGAAAATGGGAATAAACTACTCCTCAGGGATGCAACAGAGCAGCTGGATTTACATGCTAACTAAATGGAGAATAAAGAAAAAGGATATGTAGTAAAACTACCCACCTTCCTATTTTAAAAGAAAATTAAAAATATTTTACATGCAGAAACCACAAAGTAAGCCATTTTGAAGGAGCTGTGGGACTGCCTTCTCCTTTCTGGTCACTTAGCCAGTCATTGCATGATCAAAATAAAGCAAATCATGACCTAGAAGTACTATAGCGTAAGATTCTGCACAAAACATCAAGCCTCCTAGGTGACTTTTGTTCAGGTTGAGCAAGGACGGTTAGTTAAACAATACAGCTCAACCCATTTTGCAGTTAAATAAAATGTGGCACAACTCCAATGAAATTCTGGGACTTGAGCATTTACTCATCAATGCTGTTGACATGGTAGGTTTGGAGGAGAGCCAGCAATTTCGCAACTATTGATCAAGCCAGCAAAAAGGTAAACAGGGAAAGCTGCTGGTTTCTATTTAGATGTCAAAAACACATGCTTTTTATGAATAACCTCTAATGTGCTGTAGCAAGCAATTATTACATAAACAGCATGGACTATATTTTTGGGCATACACATTACCATATGAAAGCAACTCTAAACTTAACCCATTCATATGGTAACATTTTCTTTCAAGTTCATCACATAGTTGAGGAAGCTTCTTTTCCACCTGAGGAAATGTAGTACTTCTTCAGATGAAATTATCTTAAGGAGAAAGGAATAATGTATAAGTTAACTAAAAAATACTATAAAAATGCCCAGTTAATGTTTTTCTAATCCATTTATGCCCTAATGAGAGATGCTTCTAATATTTCCTGGGAACAGAGATATAAAGAAGAATTTTTTGTGGATTTGGCGCTGCATTTAAAATATTCAAAACCTTTTCAGATTCTAGAACCATTATTGAAGGTTCCTCTAACTGAACTATTCAATAGTCTGTTCAATCAGCAAACATTTCCTTGAGAATACTTAATTCAATATAATTGTACAGACTTGGAAAAATTCCAGTCGGGCAATAGACACGGATAGTCAACACTGCTGTTTTAGACCAGAAAACAGCCTGGAGTTCTACAGTGTGTTCTGGGCAGAGTGATACTGTTTCATCAATCCTGAAGACCCCCGCAGAAATTGCAAGGACCATGGAACAACGTGTACAATGAACGTGCAAATAATGGGGGAGACGGCTTCTCCCTTTGTCCAGTCTCACCCGTGCTCCCTTACCCAAGGTCCCACTCTTAACCTTTCCCAAGTATTAACCCTTCTGATTAGTCCCATGCCTTGAAATAAGGCATAGGAGTGCAGTTGAGAAGTCAGAAGAGGTAAAAAGGGAAGAGACCTCCACATCAGCCACCAGAGAAAAGAACACCACGTATGTCCTTATAAATGGCCCTGACAGAGAACTATGTGCATCCATTTTGTAATCCATGTGTTTAAGGATTTGATAAGAACTTGTGTTTAAGACTGCACAATTAGACTTGAAGGAGTTCATCAGAACACTAGCAAAAAAGATGGGACATGGAGGATTTCAAGTCACAGAAAAATTAAGTGATACGGCATAAAACTATAATAGATGAAAATGCAGAGGACTACTTGAGCACATGCAGGGCAGCATTCAGTTATGACAGAAATGAGCACAGAAGTCTTCAACTGGCACTGCCAATTTACAGCAACAAGGGCAGGGACAATTAAATAACCACACTAGAAGGGCTAAATGCAGACATTCAGACATTTTGTTCCATTTATTAATTCAACTGATTAACTCTTCATCTTTTGTTGTTGCAACTTCTACAGTCTGTTGAACTGGCCTTCTTTGAAGCAACACATCTGAAGAGCTGGCATATGTTTGTGTATAAAGCATAGCGTGACAACACAGCAATTTATCTTCAGATTTTGTCAATGTTTCTCTCTTAAGTGTATCATCTAAATCTGACTCTTATTAAATTTGTCATTCTAAAGGTTTCATCTGGCTTTGGATGTCTGTCTTTTGAATTTTCACAAACTGTGACTTGGAATGAAATACAAAAAGACTTAATCCACTGAGGGAGGTTCTAAGAATCATTTCAGAAAGGCTAGCAAAAACATCTGCTCAATGGTCTAAAAATAAACCAAAATCTTAAACTGTATAAAAACAGAAAATGCTGAGGAAATTTCAAATGCTTTTAAGAAACCTAATGGTATATTCTCACTGCAGTGTTTTGAATTTGGATCAGCTCTTTTCAAATAGAACTCTAGAAATAGAAGAGGTCTACAGAATGGGAACAAAAAATAAGGGCATAGGAAAAGTTCCACTTACGAAAAAATAATAAAAAGTATTTAAGACTATTCAGTTCAGAGACTACACTAATAAGAGGTCATGCAAAGTTACAAAATAATTTGTCATACAGAAGCAGTCAGTCAAGACTTCCATTAACTCTTCTCACAAAACCCCACAAAGTCACATGTTTAATTAAAAAGGTAAAAAGGTCAAACATAACCAAGGATAAGATATGCAACCTACAAAAAACCCAACAAAAACCAAAAAGCCACAACTCACTGTTCCAAAACTTCTGAAATGCAGTTAGATATTTCTATCAACAAAAATAGGGAAGCTATGCAAAAACATTAACAAGATGTAAAAACTCTTAAAACACCAAAAAGATTAAAAAAAAAATTTAACAGGATTAAGAAAGTAGCATCATTCCTGGGCATTGTCTACCACACAGAGGATTTGCACTTTTCCTGTGAAACATCTGAAATCAACCACTGGCAGAATGACAGAACACCACATTGAACAGACCACACACATATCATGGGATATATATATATACATTCCATGTCTGTGGCTGTAACTAATACCACATGACTGGGGAATAATAATGTCCAGTTTCCTAAAAGGATAATTGTGTTTCATGTCTATTATATTCTGTGAAGCTAGATGTAATAGTCCCCTAGAAACAAAAGAAATATGTAGCGATACAATAAATGTCCCAGGCATTTTGCTACTATGGAAGCATTCCAGCTATGTACCACAACTTCTTATCTAATAGCACTCTCAGGCCACCTTTGCTAATTTCCCATAAGAGCAGTAAATGACATTACTACAAAAAATAAATTTATCATAAATTATCTAAAGATTTCAAAAGGAGAAGCTTCAAAATTAAAACTATGTTAGAATTGTGCATGTAGAGCATACTTTTTCCACAAAATGCAGTGAAAGTGTTGAATTTTACATAATATCTTTGCGTCTCCATTCCTTTAATAACTTCATAACTTAGCAGGCATGGCAGATAACTCATGGGAGACCTCACTTCTCTGCACAGCTCTGGAAAAGTGAAAACATAGCTCTGGAAATCATTCATACTCTAGTTGCACAAATCAATATTTAAGAGTCTGAATTGTCCCATCCCCTTCTGGACCATATAGGGAAGCAGGAACTGGTAAAGCTCCTCCTTAAAGCTTTCCTTACCCTGTGCATATCATGAATAGGCAGCACTGCTCAATCAACACCTCTTTTTAAAAAGACAAATGAAGAGTAAAAAGAGAAAACAGTAGCGAAAAATCTCAAGATTGCCCTTCCTACTCATTGGCCAAAGTCCCTCATCAGGTGGATAGAGGATGCATTTTCAACAAAGCGGGCAAAATAATTTACCCTTTCCACAATCATTCCTTCATAGAACAAGGGGAAGCATGGCAAGAACTGTAATCTAGAGTTTGTTTTTGCAGCTATGATATACTCTCAGAGCAGTCTGTAAGGAAGCCACAGCTTAGCATGTCCTGTCATTTTGCCTCATGAGCAGGTGGAATATACACAACTCGTCTAGCTTGTACTAGAGCTACAGAAATCTGTGAGCCTTCGCAGAGAAGAAAAATGGACTAAAAAGAGAAAGAGAAGTTTGAAGACAGGACAGAGCAGAACACCTGGCTGTAAGCTTAACGTGTAACACAAAACAGTATCTTAACAATCCAGTTACTTCCAATTTCACTGAAGAAAGACTCAGTACACCATCGTTTTACAAAAATCAGGGCAGTGATTTAAAGTAAAATTGAAAATAACGTTCTGCTCCTTTGAAGTTGTAAAATGCTAATTTATTCCACTTACAAAGAAGCAGAAATATTACTTCTTTTCTTTATTTTGTTCCCTCTAGCAAGTGCACAGCATTACTTAAGTATATATGCAGGAAAACTGCAAGAAATAAGACCTTGTATTATCTAGGCATTTATGATCATTGTTACTGATACAAGCTGCACCATATGTGTCCACAGATCTTTACAGAGGAATAGAAAGACAAGCTCCTGCCTCCTAGGGTGCCAGCTATCCAATTAAAATAAAAACTACAAAAGTGATTAAAACAGAAGGTGCAAAACAAAGAAAAAAGTAGAAGTACGGGTGGTTTATACCACAGAAGATCGCTCCCTTGTGAAGAACAGTATGTTTGTTTTTCCCACTTCATTAATTTAAACATAATTGCTTTAAAATATTCAATTTTAATATAATTTTGAATATTTGGTTTCTTTAGAATATCCATAGGAGGTCTTATGAAAAATCTGTGTTCCAAAAAAGGATTTCAATTAAAAATACTGTGATTGCTTGTATGGTTTTCAGATCTATAAAAGATTATTTTTACAAAGTCCAGGCTGGGAGGATAGCATGGAAGATCTCCAATACAGGCAACCAAGAAAAAGTTCACTGACTGCAGCAGAAGCCAGTACCTGGCCATCCTGATGATTTCAGGAAAGAATGCAGCAGGCAAATAGCACAGTGAGACAAAAGCCAAGTAGAAGTCGGGAAGTAATGCAAACAGGGACAAAGACAGAAACAAGATTATATCATTTTGAAAGGAACAAAAAGCTAGAACCAAAATCTTGAAGTGGAAGCTTAGTGAAGAGCAGTGGATGAAATCACAATATAATTCAAGCAGTGAGAGAGACATTATCTCTGCAGCAGCATTTTGCAAAGATCATAGATGTAATGTCAAAAAGAAAATAACCCAATGGAGAAGGTTGCAGGAGCTTATGTGAAACATGAGTAACTTCACAAACTATTATGAAATAATTCTGGAAAGAAATGCACAGGTTTTAGAGAAGTGAAAGGATAATTAATTAGAAACTTCCCCAACACATACAACTACACTTTCCAGAGATCATCATGTGTTCCAATGGCTGCTCCCTTTCAGACATATTCAAACAACAGGAATTCAAACATATTAATGGGGAAGGAAATTCAGGGTTTGGGGTGTTTATCAGTTGTCCCCGTCATAAGCACCAAATAACCTCAAGGAAGAAGAAAGAATACTTAAGAACCTGGACAGACAGAAGAGTCAAAAACGGATTATGGTTATGTGACTAGCTAGTTGGAGTGTAACAAACTCACTGCCACCAATTGAATACATACAGGGAAGGAAAGAGGGGCAAATGATGACAGCTAACATCTGGCATTAGCAGTGGGAGATCCAGAAGATGTCAAAGAGACAATTAGGGTTACAAAACCAAGCAGAAAGGGAAGAGGTCAAATTTGGAGTCATCTGAAGGAGACCAAATGGTAGATGAAGTCAAAAGAGTCCTTATGGTTGCAAAGAGTAGAGGAATATGGGAAGTGCAAAATGACAATGACCAGGGAAGAAACCCACAGAGTACAGCAATCAATTAAATGAAGAGGAAAAAAAAAAAATGGTCTTTAGATGTGGGAAGGAGAGAGCCATCAATCACCTTTTTGTGAATATTGTGAGTGGACAGAAACCATGGAAACCAAAGAGATGAAAGAGGAAGCTGAGGCAACACAAACAAACAGCTTTAGGAGCTGAGAGGAAAACATGAAAATTGACAGACATCAAGGGAGAACCACAAGGATGATAGATCATATGCTGTACAGTAGGTGTTACATATGAGCAGTCTACAATTAAAATGAGAGCAATTCCTTGTCGTATGCAACATTGACGAAGAAATTGGGTTTGACCTATAACAGCTCTCTCCTGCTTTCAAACATTTCCATTTAGTAGCAATAAAAATCCCTATGAATTCTAAATGCAATTCTAATTGTGCTTATAAATGGTAGTTTCAGAAGTATGTATGTTACAATAAACACAAATTAGAGGTAAATTAAACCTTAATTATATCTAGCAAGTTTTATCTCCTAATTAAAAACGGTATTCTAACAATAAAAATGACTTACCACCTGAATTAGCTCTGCCACAATTGTCTAATCTTCCTAAACATTCTTTGTGTGCTCCAGCTCCACACTTAGAACATAAATAGCCTTGATAAAATGTTCCCCTGTAAAATAAAATTAGGTAGTGATACATTAGAGGTGATAAATTCCATGCATAAAGGACATAAGGGACATGGTAGCAGGTATTAAAAGTCATTTGCTGTTCTCCATAATGATAGTCCTTAAAGGCTCAAGAAAAAGTGACAACTGACAAGCAGCTCTTCTGCTTTTATTCGCTACTAGCCATTTAAAAAAATTACAACCAGACAGTTCTTCTGGACTACTACTAGAATAACAATCTTCATTTCAATTTAGCCCAAAGGAACTCTAGCACAGTACACCTGAAACTGTACCATTATGTATCTATCCTACTGTAGATCTACACTTCATTTTATCTCAATGGGAATTTGCCTAGACAACATGAAGAATAAGATCCATTTCAAGACAGTTGTAAGTGTGAATATATACTTAAGCATTAAGAAGTTTATAGGCAACATTGCAAATATTCTTGACTTTAAATTTGTTCATTTAAGGAAGAAAGAAAAAAAAAGATATCCAGGTACAGGTATACCTTAGTTGACATTCAGAGCTGCTAAATAAGGAGTCACTTTCCTTACTCTAAATGGTCTCCAATTCCCCCACTTTGAGTCTGAGGAAACTGATTTATTTTCAGATTTCTGTATGGCTTTTCTCCTAGGCTCCATTCACTGAATGGCTAGCAGGGAAACAGTTCTTTACATGCATCTCTTAGCAATTATGAGAGTTCCATCTACTGGTGTATCTGCTGACTCTTCACACTGGACCTGTCCATCTCCAAGATTATCCTAACAAGTTTGGAGTGATTATGCATCCTAGTCTAACATGACACCTTCAGCTTCAAAGGAAAATCATGTGTCTCATACGGAACACAGGACTGAATATGTTAAACCTGAAATGTTCAGCAACTGCTATTTACTACAGCAATTTCTAGACTGTTGTGATGAAATATATTTTTAATTAAATTCAGAAGCTCAGTATTTTTAAATATTGGAATACACAAACTTAAAGACAAATAAATAGAAAATATAAAAATATTGTAATACAGTCTTCCTTTTTTTTCATCATTGCCACAAAGCAATGCAAGATTCTGCAGATAAAATGTAACATTATTAAGCATGTAACATTATCCTTCACTACAGATGCTTCTAAGACTACGATTTTATCCCCACTTAAAGGCACTAAGATTCATGGGTCATGTCTAAATCACACACATCACAAGGGTCATGTCTAAATACCACAAAGTAGCACTTGTGGATACCCAAGCTATCTTTGAGCAAATTGGCATGCCTATGCAGATCAATGCAGCATTGTGCGGGCTGTGTCCTGAAAGCAAGACAGCTGTTTCTCAGCAGCAGCAGTCAGTGCAGTAACAGAGACACAATGACACAACTGCACTGCCTCAAATTCAGAAATTCACCAACATCACTAAGGTTCAGGATGTCTGCACCATAGTCACTTAGACCTTATTGCATTGGGAGGAAAAAAAAACACAAAACAAAACCAAAAAAACCCAAAAAAATACCACCAAAACACACACACACAAAAAAAACCACACCTCTGAAAATCCAAGCCAGTTCAACTATTCAGGAAAAAGGTTGCTAAAGGAAAAAATTACATGACAGGAAGGAACATGCCTGAGGTTATTTTACTCCATGCCTGTGCTTAACAAAAGCACTACCCACACTTCAAATGCCCTTTCTAAAATGCTCTGGCTACACTTTTTGGATCAACAACATGCAACATGAGCACCTGAACTGCCCAAAGTCTGCAAAGCTTTTGCTCCAACTATGAAATTTAGTTTCCATACATATCTCTACACTGTTGGACATTCCATATTTACAAAAAAACAAGGTAGCTCCTAAAAGATAGCTTAAATAACAAATAAGAAACTACACACGTGTAAGCATGTGTGTTTCAGAGGAAAGAGGCAGAAAACATGGAATTTCTTAGCTTAAGTTAGCCTTACAAATCCTTGTTCATGAAAGCATTAGTTGTCTGCTAGCATTTCTTATCTAGCTTTGCAACATCTATCTTCAATTTGTCTACGTATCTCCAGTTCTGAAATGCCTGTTAATGCCTCACAGTTATTTTCTGTCTCATAAAACAATCTCCTTGTTTCAACCATTTATGAGTATCATCATCATATGATTTTCTGAAAAAATATTCCATCTGTTCTTGTGACTGGTGGTCTACAGCAAGGAGACCTGTTGAACAGTCATGGCAGTGCAAAACAGTTGTCATTTACTCTTACATAATAATTCCTCTACTAAATAAAGGAAGTTTCTTCAAAGAATCATGACAAACCAGACTTCTGATAACTGAGGAGCACCTTGAGGTTTTAAGCTTTTAACAGCACACCCACTAATATTTAGAAATTTGATTATAAAAACCTGCTAATACAAGAAGAAATACTACATATGACTTCATGGCTTGTCTTTCTTGGACAGGTAACCAGTTAGCCATGTATTTCCACACACTCACACTCCTTTGACTCAGATATTTCACCTGGGGAAAAGAAAAAAAAAATCTTAAAAATCTTACCTATGAAGCATCTGACAGACTTTGCAAGATGTCACGCGACTGAAGGTATGCATTTTAAACTCATGAAAGCTTGTATCCGCATAGTCTGGCCGTATGTTTGACCTAAAAAAAAAAAAATAAATTGAAATTCTGCTTTAAATTGATGAAATCTAGAACATAATGCAGCATTCTCAGCCAGAAATCTGAATCCACAAACAACTAGTTTTATTTACATTTCAGTGCATTTCATGGAGGTGAACCAGAAATATGGACTTTAGCACACACCTTGATACGAAATCTGAGTTATGGTATTATGCAGACCTGGTCCTTAAAATACACTCTGTGACTAGAAAACTATACATCAAAACAAACATCATCTGGTTTTTACTCCTGTTCAAGCAACGAGAAAAATTTCAGGCACTCTTTCATTCTTAAATATTTTGTTATGTGGATGTACAAGGAAGAGCAACACATACTGGGAACCACCACATTTGAAAACACACGGAGCAAATTGGGACAGCTAGGTCACAATTATACAGCAATACACTGGATAACACAAGTGATTTCAAAGGCAATTAGAAAATATGTACTGGGGTTTAGCTAGTCTCTCCTAAATGAGCTGCCCAAAGCCTACAGCTGTTGCTACATAACCTTAATTTAACCAATAAAATTCACACTGATAAGATACCAACACACTATTGACAAGACTTATTTCCAAAGATCAAATTTATGTACAAAGCACTGGTCCATTACTGTACATGTGATTTTTTTAGCCTCCCTACTGATCCCTTTTAAAAGCAGAAGTATAATTTAAAAATTACCCACTTATAAGTTTGTTGCACTAGTGACTGTTTGCAGGTTTATTTGAATTTTATTAAGTAATCCATTCAACTTGTTCTGTCATACTCCCCATTTCCACAACTGGGGGGGGAGAATATGAATTTTCAATTTCAATTTGTTATTTTTTTAATTATTCAAAGAAGATTCCCAAACTAGCTTACACTGTCAAAACCAGTAACACTGAAATGCTAGGTGCAAAATTATATTATGCTAGACTGTATCAGACAAGAAAAATACATATAGTAAGGATTAATGTATTTTTAAATATTATTTTATATTGGAATGCTTAGGATTCTGTAAATTTCAGGTGTTTTTTCTAGCAAAAAAATGAGAATGCATGATGCATAAGAATGAAAATATGAAAAAAATCATGAGGGTAAGAACGTAAGAAACTAAAACACTCAAAAGGAAAGACCAGAAGCTTTTCTGACATACAAAATTACAAATTCATGCACTGAAGTTGGAGATACTTAGAGAAGTTTCATTTTTATGTATTACAAAGAACTACTAGACTAAAACATAGACCAGCCACGAATTGCCATAAAACATAAATATAGGTAACCATGCAAGCATCCATCTCTCCAGGACTGAATGAAAAGGCTTATGAAAAAAACATTCAAAGAATCTGTTTAAGTACCTAGAGTCAGAAAGGTCAGTCTTCTAATCTGCCTGCTGAAAATGAACGTGCTGAAAATGAAACTGCACCCAAAAAGCAAACAGGATTTTGCTTTTATGCTTGAGAATAACATTACACTCAGTACTGTTTTAACTAGCTCACTAGTATCTCTCTTTCTGCTATGATATGCAAGAGGTCAATGCCACAACTCCTGCTAACTGAACAGGTATGGATACTACCCATTCACAGCAGGAAGGTACAGGTTATCAATAAGCTCAAAAGAGTAAAGAACTTTTTAAACCAGAACAATGTACTACTTTTGGGCTGTTAACTCTGCAGAGCAAGGCACATGTTAGTACTCCCAGTACAGTACTTACACCCCTAACAAAAGCTGCTTTTTGTTAACAATTTGGTTCAGACCAGGATAGTTTGCAAAACCATGTCAAAAGTATCAGCCTAACCTGCAGACTAATCAGATTTGAAAGTATATCAAATTAATCCTAACAACCTGACCATTTTTTCACAAGGGGGGAAAAAAAAAACCCACAGAAAGAAAAAATTCAATTTGTTTAATTAGAACAGGATCAATCTTCAAAAATAATAAGCACAGTGGACAAAAAGACAAAAATGACAACATTATACAGACAGTTCTTTAACACAAGCATATGACTATATCTTTATATATAGTCACATATTTATTTTTTACATACGAAAGGAAGATAATTCTCTTCCATTCTTCTCTCAGGCTATCTTCCACAGAGATTGAAATACACGAACTACTGAAAATATACCTCCTATTAACAGAACAAAAATTATACACTGTGTTCATTCTTCTTTATATTAAAAGTAATATCTGAGTTTCTTTATATTTTATAAAGCCATTCAGTTTCATTTTACAGTCCTTAATAGAAAAAGTTATTCTTGAGACGAAAAAAGCATAGTGCTAAAATGGCAAAGAATGAAGCTGTTGCCTCACAGAAGAGCTGTCACAAGGTCCTCCACCTTCTTTCAACGTGAGTTGTTTTATTGCACTTATGGGATTAACTATCAGATTATAATGTCCTAAACAAGATAGATTTATCCAGATAAACAGACTTACAACTTCTGCTCTCTACTGTATGCTAACATTTGGATACATTTCTCCTACTTGCATAAGTAGCAGAATACAGAACTGAAAAAATATGATACAACTTTTGGAGTATAATGCAAACTTTGGTTTATCTTGTCCACTTCACTTCCAAAAACTGAATCCCTGTTTCTTTAAACCCCACCAGGCTTTAGCTGTAAGAGTCTAACAATTACTTCAATAAATCCTCTAGCTAAAAACTTGTTCTTTCTTCTTTCTTCACCACCTACACATTCCCTATACTCCCTATCAATTCACTACCATCTAACTGCATGTACTTCCTTGTTGGCTAAGGCCAAGCTAGCACAAAGGTATTCCAAGACAGCCTTTTTTAAAAGGCATGAGCCTGAGTAGCTCTTTTAGCCTTCAGCAGCCTCTTTTTAGAGGCTCTTAGTAGCCTCTTTTAGGGGCACACAGCAAATATTCTTAAACCAGAACAACCTTTCAAATTTTGCTAGCCCTTCCTTTCACCACTCACAAGATATAATTTTTCTCCTTTTTTTTTTCCCTAAAGCCATATCACCCAGAAGAAAAAGCTTAAAAATCCCTAACAACAAAAGTTTAGTGAATTAAAGAAGATGTCACTGAAGTATATCACCCATAGATTAAATGAATCTGGAAGGGACTACAGCCTCAGCACATTACAGAGGATCCTGAGCAGGAAGAGCAGGAATCAACAAGAGAAGAAACCTAACCCACTGCTGAATCTTTCTTTTTGCACAGACTTAGAAGGTACTTCCAAGCAGTTGTCTCAAAATGAACAATGCCCCTGCATTCCACTGAGAAGAGTGATTTCACATTTTTCTTTTGTCTCTTCCTTTCTAGCTCTAATCATTCATCCTGTCTCAGATTTGAAGTCAAACAGGAATGGGAAAATGTCATGTTTTATTTCAGTTTACACATCAGCAAAATATATTCTCAAATTTGAGGTCATCACACTTCAAAGAGATCAGGATTTTACCCACTATCTCATTATTCTCTTCATAAAGAAATAGCCTATGAAAAGTATTAATATTTAGATACGTGTTAGAGAAGAAGGCATTTCATCACTGCTCAAAAAAACCCAACATTCACATTTATGTAAAAGCAGTTTCAAGTCATTGATATTCTGATAAAGGCAGTAGAAAAGAACAGTGCAAAATAAGAAATAATATGCTTACTGTGATGACACGTGTTGTAATGTGAAGCACAATATAGAAAGATAACTAATAATACAACAAAACCCAGAAAAATTTACAGCAAAAATTAAAAGGTAATGTGTATTATCTACTGTAAATGTAGAGATGAAATAAGGAAAGCTTTGTAGGAAAAGATATGTTGCAGTGCTAACTGTGGACAGGAAAACTCTTGCACATTCTAACACCTGATCAGTCATGCTGCATTATGGCAAATCCAGTTGTGTAGTCACATTACGCATCACATCAGACAAGCCTGAGATAATCTGAGATGATGCACTGTAGCAGTATATATCAAGTAGCAAGTCTTTTAATGTAAAGTCTGAAACTTAAGCAGTCTAGGGGTTTGACATTTTAGTTTTCAATATATTGCTTTTCAACAAATCAAAAATAATGCAAAAATAACCCAACCCAATACTACATTAAAGTTCCAACTAGATATTAAGCACAACTCATCTGTGGTTGTCCAAGCCCAAATACCACAAGGACCATAGGAATGCTTTTTTCCACAAAACCATGCAGGCTGAATAGCATACACTATTTTTTTGAGTTTTTAAATACAGTAAATAAAGCTGATAACTTCAATGGGAAAACAGCAGTCACAGTATAGCATACAACTTTTCATAGTCATGTCCAACTGTAAAGAAGCTCTTTTATTTACAGCATTCAAGACTTACACTGACACCCTGAGAACACAGAGCAGAGCTGCCACAAAACAGTTAAGAGAACATTTCATCTTTCTCAAATCTTCTTTACCTTTCTACTTCCCAACCTGTGGGCATATTCCAAGACATAGAAAAAACCTGAGTATTAGGTCAGTATTAATTTCAAGCTTAATACTAATTTAGGACTTAAACTGGTTTCCCTCTCCATCACAGTGGAACAGTCACCAGTCAAGCCCTCTCACAGGCTCCACAACAACTTCTACTATGGGGTGCCCCAGGCTCACCACAAATTACAAGTTTTATCCATTTCTGCTGTTGAACAATCTTGATGAATGGCCAGAGCAGGAAGTCACTCACATACTAGGAATACTTAATCCGAGTTAAATAATGACTGAGAACATGTCTCTCATTTTATGGTAAAACTCTTTCTCTTATTTTTACAAGCAATGTGGCGAGTCAAAAGTAGTTTCCCTTCCT